GATCAAGGTTCATGTCACAGTTGCAGCACTCCTTGCCAAGTGGAGGGTTTATTGTTAGCTGCAACTTTAAATATAAAGGTGTCATATATAGATAAGACATGTTTGGAGGCGTGGTCCCACTCCTGAAATTCACATAATTTACCTTCAATTAGTACCAAGGCTTTTAACCCAGTGGTCAGTTCTTCTGGAGCGAACACTTGCATCGCTGTGATGCTGTTGGAGGTAATCTTATTAGGTTTAGGATTAGATTCTGCCTGTGATACCTGAGTGCATTTGAGGAAGTCAGTAAGCCTCTGCTTCTATTGGGAGAGAGATTAGTCTGTCATCCAAATAAAAGTGTCTCTAGACAAAGTGGTGTGACTCAGGTCCATGTTTTTGCTCACCCTCTTGGGCCACTCTTTGGGATCCATATATAGCGACCCGCTCCCCAAAAAACAACAACAACAAAAAAATCCATGCAGCATGCAGGGGTTTCTCTGGTCAATAAAGCATTGTTCTGGGCCCAAACATAACACACACAGATCATGCCCGTCCTCTAAGGGTATGGAATGCTACAATCCAAACAATTTTGGGAGGTATGGGTTGCCATACGCCACACAGAAACCCATCTAAAATAGGTTAGAGAACTCTCACTCGCTGGCTGACACATCAGACACAGCGAGGTCCAGGGAAGCACAGCCTACTAAGCTACTCGAGCACGAAAGCTGTACCTAACGAGCTTGCTAAGGGAGACAGCAAAGTAAGATAGGAACTAACACAACAAAACACCTAAAGGCTGGAAAATCACCAAGATGCAAAAGAATTACTAAGAAAGATGAAATGCAAAACCCTAAACCATGCTAAAGAATCAAAACAAAGAATAAGCAAAACCTAACCACGGAGCCAACCGACTACGGACCCTGACAGTCATGGTCTTTGTGCAAGATAAATCTTAAGTATTTTCTGTGGTCCTCTCTCATCATAAAACCATAGAACATCTGCTGGATTTCCTCTGTCACAGCAATAAGCTCCTTTCTGAACCTGAGTAGTTCTCCTAGAAAGGAGTTATTCAAATCAGGGCCAAGACACTTGCTCCATGCCATAGTGTCGCTGAGTTAAAGGTGAAACAAAGTTGTACATGAAACCATTGTTTGTTCGTTTTTTATTGTTATTC